CATCTTCTTTCTAGGGACAGTGTCACTCTCTCCCAAGCATATGCCTTTGTGTCAGGAGAGGAGTGCAGGAGGGATGTAATGATGAAAAATCTCAGTTCTGATCAGTCTGCTATGGTAAGTGCTGTGAAATCTAAACAAAATGGCAATGAAAACAAAAAGGAAGACAAAAGGGACTTGGTTTGTGACTACTGGAAGAAGCCTAAGCATACAAGAGACACTTGTTGGAAGCTTCACCCACATCTTGTGTCGACCAGATTGAAGAATAAGAAAGGAAATGCGCACATGGAAGTTACCGGTGATACTCCGGCCCCCCCTACTACAGCTGCTTTGGAGTCCGTTGCAGCTGCTGCATTAAGGGTCGAGCTTGAGAGGTTTGGGCTACTTCTGAATCAGAGGGATACAGCTAGTTCCAGTCCAACCGTAAGCGGACAACAAGGTACAGGTAGCACAGCCGTAAGCGGACAACAAGATACAGCTGGTCCATAAACACTTTTTTACTTATCAAAAAAATTGAAAAATTACCCATGGACCAGTTTGCTATTTAGAAAACGCAACCATCTGAAAGTGGAAGTTTATACAGATGTAGATAGGGCAAGTGTTCTATATGATAGAAAATCCATCAATGGATACTACAACTTCGTGGTTGGAAACCTGGTGACATGGAGAAATAAGAAACAAATTGTAGTTGCAAAGTCAAAGTGCCAAGGCTGAGTATAGAGTTATGGCAAATGGGGTAGTTGAAGTACTTTGGTTAAGAATTTGTTAAGGGAGCTCGAGTTAAATGTTGCCAAAAAAATGCATCATGCTTTATAGCTCTCAGCTCCCACCACAACATACACACAATGAAGCTCCAAACAGTTTTCCCTGGATACCCCTTGCTTTACTAGGGTATCAACCAAATCATTAGCTGAACAATTAACCCATCTGAGGCAGTAGCTCCAATTTGGAAGTTATACTGGTATCTTCCATGTGGCATATGCATATCTACATGCATATGCGTGTATAATGTATATGATATATACATAGGTATACACAAATAACAATTCTTTGGAATTTTCCATCTAATTGATGCAAGAAATTTAAGTCACAATGACAGAGAAACACAGAAACATATATAATGTGCATTTGAGATACTAAGAATTAGCCACCTTTTATTTCACAAACTATTCGCATGGAATCCTCTGCCACACACAATAGATGCTGATATCCAGGATAACCACTAACAAAGAGTATCTCATCTAAAGGCCTGAATTTCCCTTGATCATTTGCCTTCTGCACTTGAAAGGCAGGTTGACCCAGTAAATGTTTGAGCATATAATTGAAATCATAGTTAAACATAAAATCAACTCCTATATACTTCAAACTAAAACAACAAGAAACAAGAAAGAAAAGTAATAAATAAATACAATATTGAGGCTGGGTTCAAACATTAGACAAGGATGCTTCCAATTGAATTTAAATGAGGATGCCCAAAAAGGATAAGGAACAATGAAATAGAGCAAACAGTTGGTTTGGTATGATTTAAGGGGCTGAGCTTGTTATCATAAAACAGGTCCACACTCTATTCATAAAAGATTCATAAGTACAGCAGCTGAGGTGGAAGCTAGAAAGGGTCAATGTGGATTTCCATCTGCCCTTTTAATGAGGCCACTTTCAGCCAAGTTTTAAAATGTCAATGTTGGTGGAAATATAAGCCACTGAATTATAGTTAACATATCAGAAATGTTGGAAACTTTGTATGAAAATATTGTAAAAACTATAGACATGGTGGAAACATTGTGAAATATGCAAAATATAGAATGCTATTTCATGTAAAAGATAAAAGATGCATATACAGACCCTTTTAAATTATTATCTTGTTCCAAATCATCAAAACTACATGATAGAGTGCATTTAAGCAAAATTTAAATTCATTAAAGTGCAAGTGATTCTAATAGATCAACCAAATAATTTATTATACAATGTAAACTAAGATTTAACTCCACGTTTGAAAAGAATTCAAGCTGGCACAAAGTGGTAATCGTTTGCATTAGGTGGGGCAATAACACTGCTAGTCTGCATATCTAAAATTTTCTCAAACTTACATTATAATATTATCTCTTGTACTCCATATAGCACTGTTAGCTTTCATTGAGGAATATGTTGATTCCATTAATATTTCGTCAGTAACCATAGAAATGGAAATGTCATGGAAATATTAGGAAATTTATGAACATTTTAAACCATGCTTCCAACACATAATTCTAGAAGCAAACTAGTGTGTCATTGTAACCCTCATGTGGGTCAAGGTTGTAACACGCTGTTGGTTTGCTTAACAACCTTCACAATGAGACCAATAAATCCATGATATTAAGTTAGAGAAAATTCTATACCTATGGGCGTTTAGAACCTTCTCCAATTTAATACCAAGTTTACTATCCCATCCCAGTTAAACTATGAAATATGGCAACCTCTCATAATGTAGGCATATATTTTAATTGAATTCTGATGGTTGCAGTTTCGGAAGCTCTGATATTTTTTGCATTAGGTGAGTTTATAATTAAATTGAACTTTGATGGTTGCAGTTTCAAAGTTCTAGTATTTTTGGTATTGGGTGTTTTAGAAACCATGGAGAAAATTAAATTTTGTTGTTTTCTAGACCAATTGGTGTTGGGAACTCTACCAAAGCTAAGTTATTGGCAATCTTGCAAGGTATGATACTAGCTAAATCTCTACAGCTTGGAGAGCTAGTGATGGAAGGTTCTTATACTATTGTGGGTTAGTTAAAAAGGAATAAGAGAAAGGATGGAATGGAGGTTTTTTGGGCTCCACCAATTGAAGGCTTTGTTAAACTGAACTTTGATGGGAGCAGTCATGGTAATCCAGGCCCTTTCTGGAATAGGAGGGGTTTTGAGGGATGGAGAAGGTAAATTTATAGCAATTTTTTCTGGCCCTATGGGTATGGGTGACTCCCTCAAAGCGGAACTGCTAGCAGCAATCCAAGGAGTGCAGATAGCTGGTGAGCTAAACTTGACAAATGTGGTGATTGAAGGGGATTCAAAAGTGGTGATAGAATGGCTAAATAATCCAGAGTCTATAATTTGGTGCTACCGGCCTGAAAGGAAAAAAATTTATATGGTTTATCAGGAATATGAATTTGAGGATACAATGGGTGAGGAGATCAGCAAATGAGATGGCAGATGCTTTGGCTAAGCAAGGGGTGGAGAGGTCTATTTTGTTCAGGGCACATTTGTAATGTGATTTCTTGTTATGCATGAGAGGCAGCAGCTCGTACCTCTAAGGGATGCTTGTAAATATATGATATAAAGCTTATTAATAAAATTCAGTTATTTATCAAAAAAAGGAATAATGTGAGGTCTTTGAAGTACAGATACATAATGATAGAGATTGAACAGCTGGTTACTTCCTACAAGAGGGAACCCATCCCAAAAATTTGCTTGTTGTCTCTAGTGGGGTTGATTGGGGTTTTTATAAGGGGACTTAGGGATGTGCAATGCTCTTTTGTGGTTGATTTAGGGCCCGTTTGGTGCGTCTTTCCACACGGTCTTTCGGCTGTTTACTAGCTGGGTAGACCGATTTTCGGTCTATTCCCATTTGGTTCGCAGAAGATCTAGCTGCCAAAAGCTGAAGCGCCAAAGACACAAGAAGCCCATTTTGGGCTGATTTTGGGAAGCTCCAAATGAAGCTTTTCACGTTTTCGAGTTTTAATCTCGCGCGGAAAGTCACAGAAAGACGCACGGGAAGACGTCTAGCTTCGGGCTGCTCAGATCTTCATGCAAAAGCTCAATGCGTCTTCTGACTGTCGGAGCTACCAGAAGATTTTCCCAAAAAAAAATAATGGTTTGACAGTCACCTTCTACTTCAACATTCTCATGTCTTTCAAGCATAACAATTCCAGCCCTTGGATTAGAGCTGTCAACTCACCCCCCCACCCCTCTTTGATAAATAGCTTTTAACTCAGTCCTTGGGGAGTTTCCAAAACCAATAGGACCAAATAGCTCAGAACCACCCTTCGGGTAAAACCCCTGATTACACTACCAATACCTGAAGCTCCTGGGTTACTGAGGCTACATCCATCCATCCAAATTTGGTTTAACAGAGCCAAATGCTGGAGTGGACCATCTGACCACCCTGCCTTGTTTCTTTCCTGGAAATCAGCAATGACTTGCCAAAGAATTTTTTTGTCATCTTGTCTTTTAGCCATCTTCTCTTCATTGCATATGTCATTTACTTGCCATTTTGACTTTAGTCTTTTTTGCTACTATATATTTTAATTAGATAAAGAATTATCTTCCATAGTTGTGTGCCTTTTTCTTTTTCTTTTGAATTACAATGGCTTTGTAAGTAAACCATATCAAAATAGTAAGCCAATGATCTAATCACCAAATCCCCACTTGTTTTTATCTTTAAAAAACTATGATGGTTCTAATGAAATATCAGAAAGTTTCTAATAATATTCTAAAGTTGTAACTTGTAAACCTTAAAAGTATAGTCTATCAATGAAATCCGAAATATTGTCAACATACCGACAAAATATCAAAGATATCAGGGGGAAAGATTCTTGGAAAATCTGTATTTCTACCTAGAAAAATGGGGAGATTTCAGGAAAATTTCACCAAATCTCGCCAATATTGTGATTTGTGAACCATGGTTCCAAGGTCTGTTAATAGCATGATAGATGCATTAGCAAAAGAAGGTCTCAACAAACTTCAGCTGTTCTAGGTTTGTCAGAAGAAAAAGTAAAGTGTAATTTGTATTGCTGTGAAAAGTGAATCACATGTAAGTGGAGAGTTGTGGGGAAAGGGAGAAGAGGATAGCAAGGGCTAGGCCTAATGTTAGGGTGCTCGGCACATCTCCACTGTATATATCATACTTCTTATAAAATTAATATAATTCACTGTTTTTGAATGGACTAAAAGACTTTTTATTGTTAATTTCCTAATTCTGTTTCTTAGCACCAGTCCGGCCTTTTCGATGTTCTGTTTCAAGCTTGAAACAGCCTCAACCAGAAACCAGACTCCCACCTCTGGCTACATCAATGTGGCAAGACACTTCATCTTATTCCAGGCTCAACACAACAGAATAATCTTGCCTTATATAAAAAAAAATTGTAAAAATCATTACATATGAGCATCATACCTTCATTCGAGCTTCCTCAAAAATGGGCAACAAAATAAAAATAGGATCAATTGGAGTAGCTGTATACAGGCACCCATCTGTACATAGACAATAAGCAAAGGATGGTTGTTAAAAACACACAAAAGGTAAGAAAAGGGGCATTGCATTGGGAAAATCTCATTTTTTATAAACCAGGGTTGTTCCTAGTGATACGACAAAAGATACCCATGTTTATGATCACGAACATTAATACATCAATCTTTTAAAACAGGCTCTTAGACTAATAACTAGGGTATGCCCTCTTTATCGAAATTGGGGTGCACCTGCATCATACCTTAGATAATTTAATGAAAAATCCATACCTTCACAAACATAATCACCTATGAACCAAGACCCATACGATTGCTTGAACCAGTGAAACTCTTGAATAGATCCATTAATAAAGAAATAAGATGTTGTATCTCCTGACAATTAGTGAAAAATAAATCATATAGTTACTGCCAAACATTTAGGGATTTCAAGTTTTCACATATTGAAAAAAAAATGGGAAGGGTTTAATGTTCAGATTCATTTTAAATGTGTAATTGTTAGTCGTTCAATAAGACAAATATTGACATAGAACAATTGAATTTGGTAATAGGTAACCAACTAAAACCCATGCATGCTGTTGATAATTAACTTTGACCATACAAGAATAATGCTTGACAGTTTGCTAAAAGCTTCCAAAAGTATAAAAAAAAAAACAATCAAATTCTAGCTACAACATTTCCTCCACAACTTTAACGTGTTAGATGCATGAAATTTAAGTAAACAAAAGCTTATCAAATCACCTGACTTCGGATGACGGAGAAACAAGAAACATCCTTCCCCATTTCTAGCTGAAATTGTAGAGCCAGGTTCTGCAAGATGTTTGAATTTTGAGATAATACATCATTAAAATGAAATCCAAATCCATAAATATAGCTATGCAAAATGAACACTGCAATAATCCAAAATAGTTAATATGTACATCATCATCATCATCGTCTAAGCCTTGTCCCAAAATAAAAAAATAAAATAAAAAACTAGGTCTGATTGTACTCAAAGTGAAAAACGGATTTTTTTTTCACTGAATCATTTAATGCTGTTCTGTAAGCTATTTACTTTTAGTTTTCAGCCATGCAATACAAAAGATGGTGTTCTATACAAGGTTTCATCCTTAAACAACAAATAATAATAATAATGACGATGATGATGATGATTGTATGCAAGTCGCACGTGGATGTGGATGTAAATCTCAGCCATCACTGTTGATCTTTGACTGACTGAGCATGTTTGAATAATGATAAAAAATGGGCAGGTCTTTCTAGACCCTCTTAGTTTGGATGTGAGATTCCCTCATCCAAAAGGTTACTTCACTTGTGCTTCCTTTTTTAAGGCCCTTTGCTCTTCCCCGGGACAGTTGGGTTTTCCGACCAAGGAGATATGGTCTACACCTATTCCACCTAAAATTATTATTTTTTGCTAGGAGGTGTTTTATAGAAAGATTAATACCTTGGACTGCTTGCAGAAGAAAAGGCCTTTCATGTGTTTGTCCCCTAACTAGGGTGTACTTTGCAAGGCTAGTAGTGAGGATTGCTCCCACTTACTTGTATCTTGTTCCTTTTCTAGTGCTATTTGGAGTTGGATTTTTTCTTTGTTTGGGTGCAGGTGGAATCTGACCACAGACTTAAGTCAGTTGTTTGATCCTTCTTTTTTTTGTGTGGCCTACAAAAAAAGGAAAAACGATGTGGAGATGTATTAGAGCAGCCGCCTTGTGGGCAATCTAGGAAGAAAGGAATGAAAGGGTATTCAAGGAAAAGGAAAGAAGCATTCAGGCTGTTGAGGATTGTCTCTCAACTAGGGCCATTCATTGGTTAAGAACTATGGACTTCTTTCATACATTTTCCTTTGAAGATATTTGGAGAAACTGGATAGCGGTGGCTAATAGCTATACGAGGAAGGGCAGGGAATCTGCAGTGTGGATGTCTCTGCCTGAAGGTTGGGCAAAGCTGAATTTTTATGGTAGCAGCCAAGGAAACCCAGGCCCATCAGGGATAGGAGGGGTGCTGAGAGATAAGGAAAGCAACATCTTAGCCTTGTTTTCAGGCCCCATGGGAACATGAGACTCCAATAGAGTTGAGATTTTAGCGGCTGTACAAGGTATTCAGATTGCAGAACAATTAGGAGTTCAGCATTTGGTAGTTGAAGGAGACTCCAAAATTGTTGTGGGATGGCTGACAGATCCAGCTTCAGCTATGTGGCAACACAGAGATTTATTGAGGAAAGTCAATTGGCTAACAAGAAACATGACTGTTACCTCTCTTAGGGTGGGAAGATCAGCAAATACCTTAGCGGATGGGTTAGCTAAGCAAGGGGCTTCAAGGGAACATTTATTTTGGGCTGCTCTATAATTTTATTTCTGTTTATTCCTGTATTTAACTTGATGTAATACTCTGTTAGAAGAGGTAACAGCTCGTGCCTCTTCATGGGTTTCCTGTATTGCCTTAATTTTCTGGACTAATAAATTATCTTCATTCATCAAAAAATAATGGGCATTTTAGCATGAGTTTTCCTGTGGCTTGTGGGCCAAGGAACTTGTCACATGGTATTGCTTATATGGACTTTGGACTAAGAAACTTGCCGTGTAGACATTATTATATAATAATTGCAAGAAAAAATACCATAAAAATAGGGGAGATACACAATCCAAAATGTGAGAGATGCATTGAATCACCCACGATGTCATGTTTGCATCAACAAAAACTCTTTCCTAGATGAGAACACTAAAATTCATAGTTTTCTAAAAAAATCCCTTTATTTCTGTTCCTGGAACCATAGGGTTTGTGATTCCATGGCCACAAACCCATGTCAAAGAATGCCAAACTGTGGTTTCATTTTCTAAAACTGGACAGAACACAAAAGCAACCATCAACCAGGCAGCCGCTTCGTAGAACTAGTAAAGTATCATTCATTGTTTTACGATTAAAGTCCTTATTTGAATCTCCCTATATACCTATGAGTTTGTCTTAGTTTTGAAGCAGTTGGAAGTTGTTTGGATTAGTTTTCAAGTTTAAATTGCAGTATGTAAAAGGAGGGGCGAGCCATTATGCTTAATCTATAAATAAAGATTAAAATTAGAATTCTAGAGTTGATTTAATGAAATAAAAGTTTTTTATTGGAAACGGTGAAATAAAAGTTATTTTGAAGCTACTTGTGTATAAAAGTACAAAATCTCTCTCTCTCTTCTGGAGGTCAGAGGTGCAATCTTTTTTTTCTCTCCCTTCTAGTTGTGTAACCTTTCTTGCTTCAATATCTTCTCTATTGCAGATCTGAATCTCTTTCTCTCATTACTAAGAATCTTAATTTCCCTCTTCTTCCAACCACATTCATTCTGGTGGGACTTTTCTCATTCTGGTCCTACATCACGTTGGTATGTGCACATGTGTGGACTCCTATGAAGTTACCAAAGTTCCACAGGTGCCAACACAAGTTATTGAGTGTTGAAACAGTTGGTGTCAGACGCTTCTATTAGCCATTTTGGTCACTTTGAAAACAGCAAAGCAAATCACCATTCAAGGGGTCATTTCAAAATGCCAAGGTACTAATTAGTAAATACCAGATAAAATCCCAAATTGCACTTTGGGTGGGATTCTTTGAATCACTCAAACTATTACAGCGCCTGAAAATACACTCTACATATGTAACGTAGGTAGAGATTGGCGAAGTGATTAAGTCCTAGCCAATGAATTTCAGTAAGACATGAAGGGTGACAAGTTACCGGGTGCAATGACAATGCGAGTTTCTGCAACGTTATCCCACCAAGCCATATCTTTTCTGCAAAACAAACAACGAAAAGAAAGAAGACTTTCAGTGAATAGCAACTGAAATATCAATAGTTGTTTAAAAATAAGCACGATGGTCAAGTCCATGTCAAACAAGATTCCCAAATTTGACTACTAATTATCAGAACTGCACATGGAGAAAGAGAGGTAAAGAGATAGGATACTTAAGGAAGACAAAATCAATACTCTAAAATACCTAAGTTTAACAGATTTTGTCTTTATAAAATATTTCGTGTATAAGAAGGGATGTTGTTAAGAAGCCGCCAGAGATCGAGCTTTCGCGTTTCCACTTCGCAGAGAAAAAATTCCTCTTATAAGTTATAACTTATAACAGATAAGGAGAAGAAGGGTGAAGAGTGGGAGAAATTGTCTTTCGATGTTTGGTACCACCTTTTTTGAGATTGAGGCAATTCGAGCAATCAAGCTCAGTTTGGTAGTTTAGGGTAAATTGCATGTTAGTGCTCTATACATTGCAACAGTTTTACTTTAGTATCCGAACTTCAAAATGTATCATTATATTATCTCGGGAAAAATCCATTTTAGTACCTTAAATTTTGGGGGTAGTGTAAAGTTAGTACCCCATCAAATCAAACAATTACAATCACTGCAGTATCCAAACTTTCAAAAAGTGTCAAGTTAGTCCCTACCGTTAACCGATCATCAGTTATCTGATCATGTGACGACATATACAACTTAAATTTTTGAAAATGTCAAAACTATCCTCCAAAATAAGATATTGTTCATTGTCTTCTACCTTGAGACTGAACCGGTTGAGGTGTAAAACCACTGCCGTAAATAAAAAAAATTAAATGTCACTATCCTTGAAAAAATAACAGATGGAATTAGTCCAAAGTTAATGGAAAGAAAAATCAGAGAAAAAGCACAATGAGTTTAAATGACGATATAATCGACAAACAATATACCTGAAGCAGCTTCCAAGGTGAATTAGGCCAGCAGATGGGGTCAGCAACCTGAACAGAAGATATAGTCTCTGATGAAGGGGAATTTGGCCCGACCTCGTAATCAAGAGACACGTGGACGTGACTCGGCATATATGACAAACTCAACATGATCAGATCGGCACGTGGACCTGACTCAACACGGGTGACAGCTCAGCGTAAATCAGCTCGCTACGAAGCGAGCTCGGATACACTAATACCCCGAACTAAAGTCACTTCAGGCTAAGATTGTCCCAGTACCAGATCACGACCGGGATAACGGGACCAAGTTCATCACAGGTCAAGCTCGGGTAGGTGACTTACCCCGGGCTCGAAGGCACTTCAGCATTCATGACAAAAGTAGACTTGAGCACGAGCTCGAGAAGCTCGTTACCAATTAACTCGCTATCAGGCAACTCGCCTACCATTCGGGTCTCCGCTTGGCAACCTTGAGGAACACACCTCCGTACTTTGTGTCCCATCAGGACTGCACTTGTAACGGTAATATTAGCTCACCAACTCCCCGTTCTGACGGGAAGCGACAGTGTTACCGTTTGGCGGTGTTTCATCCACCTAACGCGCCGCATCAGGTCCCATCACTACAGGGATCCGGTGACCATTCCACCTACCCACCTGGGCTACAGTATATAGAGACACCGCCCCCCCCCCCCCCCAGGGGCGAGGATACGTTCTATTATCTATTTGATTGTGTGTAATCTTTGCTCTCTAGCTCTCTCACTGTTATTATCTTCAAGCTCTCTACTATCACTGTGTTCTAACTTAGCCATCGGAGTATCCTCGCCGGGTGAGCCACCCCGGGATCTCTGCCTCTTCTCTTTCAGGAACCTAGTTCTCATCATTGCTGGCAGCCACATCAGCATCCAGCAGGGAGCAGCCGGATTACGCCACATCAATTGGCACCGTTTGTGGGAGTACTTGTTACAAAAAGCCTTTTCATTTCCAATCCAAAAACCTAAAAACTCAAAGTCAAACCCATGGCTTCTTCCAGCAACGCCGGACAGCACAGAGAGGCAAATACCGCCGAGGGCAACCCCAGTTCCCAACTGCCTGTATAGGCCAGTTCACCATACCGATCCCCACGGGTGGGATCCCAGCACCTGCTGTGCCCCAACCAACTCAACCTGTGAACACCCCACTTCCCCCCGTAGTGGGTGCGACCTCCGTTGAACCATCTATTGTTCCCCCAGAG